GGTGAGAGGAGAGGGGGGTGGAGAGGGCAAGAGAGAACGTGTGTGTTTCTTGGAGGTCGGTTCGTTCTAGGCAGGGTCTGAGCCGCCGCGAGGAAGGTCGGCAAGGAGGCGCCATGCAGTATGTGATCATATATACACACGCGTATGTATGCATGTATGTGTGTATGTGTGTATATATGTATATATGTATGTGGTCTTTTACCTTCTCGGAGCGTCCATGCATGCATCTCACCCCCACCCCCCTCCCCCTCCCACACCCTGTAACCGTCCCAACCCACAACCGCCGGTAACCAACCGCCCAACAGACCTCAACCCCAATAACGTACTGCTCAAACGAGACGCCACGTCACCCATTGGCTTCCGGGTTAAGATGGCTGAGTAAGTCAAGGGGGGGCCAGGGGGGGAATCTAGGCGGAGGGAAAGGAGGATGCCATCCACCAGCCTCACCCCCACACCTACCCCACCCCACACCCTAACCCCCACCCCCACCCCCACCCCCACCCCCCCCACCCCAATCCCCACACCTACCCCACACCTAACCCCACCCCCACCCCCACCCCCCCACACACACACCCTGGCCAGTTACAATTTCAGCATGCTTTGCATATATGTGATTCTCCTATCATCTTTATCGCAACCTCTCCTACACCCACTCCTTCCACCTTCACGCATCCGACCATCCAAGTTGCGCCTCCCCCCGCCCGCCTCCCCCCGCCCTCCTCCCCCGTTTTCCCCCTCCGTACCCCTCTTCCTCTTCCCCTCTTTGCTGCTTGAGACCACCCCTTGTATCGCGTCGCCGCTGTTGCGCTGATATCGCCGGAGTGCCGCTGCAACACACCCCTCCATACCTAAATCCTTTTTCTCTCTCCCTCCCCTCCCCCTCCCTCTTGTACCTTGCCCCCTCCTGCTGCTGCTACTGCCGCTGCTGCTATGGCTGCCCCCGCTGCTACTGCCGCTGCTGCTATGGCTGCCGCTGCTGGTACTGCCGCCGCTGCTACTGCCGCCGCTGCTATGACTGCC